ATCTGCGTTGACTGCTCATCCATGTTAACTTTGATCGCGTCGACCTCACGCTGAGTAAACTGCAGACTCGATTTTATTTCCTGTATCTCTCTGGTCATTTCGTCGAATCTCTTGTTGTTCGTATCCATAATCATTTGCACAAATCCCTTAAAACTGTCGCTGAGCTGATTCACCAGCGCAGTGAAAAGACGTTTCTGCTCCGACAAGTCCGCAGCAAAATTCTCTTCAACTTCGCCTTCCTCAGCAGCTTCAGATCTATTTGCTCTTTTCCCTTTAGGAGCCATTTCAAGATGTAGACTTTTCCAAAACTTGAAAGTGTAGAAAATATGAAACAGATATGAGAATCCCAGAACAGACAAGAGGAGCAGAAAAAAACGTCCGCTCTCGCTTGCAACTCCTCAATTACCCATTTAACAGTTGTCATAGTGATGCCATCACTATCACTAGATGTTTTGTTACCACATTTATTCACTATCTCTATAATTTCCTTTTCAACTATGGGCTGTATTAAATAATGTTTTAACAATGTTTTAACAAAACCTGCACGGCTACTTGCTCTTTATTTGACTCAGTGATATTAATGAGCCGATGTGTACAGTAAGATTTCTGGTTTTCTGTAGCACATTTCTATATTTGCAGCATGTCTCTGTATTTATTTGAGTTTTTCTGTATTTGAAGGATTTTTTAAAATCCTGCTCATATGTTATCAATTGGTAAACATGTTTTCTTAAGTTGCAGTCCTCTCAGAGACTGATAAAAGCACAATCGACCACACATTTATTTTATTAATGGAATAAACCTATCCATTCAACTAATAAAATCAAATACATGATTAGAACATTTTAAGTTTCTGTTATAAATCTAACATTGTTGATCCAACATCACAACAAAGATCATGACCTCTTAGATCACATGAGCTAATATGGAGCCTGTAAACTTTCGAGACCTTATTTTAACGTTATATTCATAAATTATCCACAAGCAGACAAATGATAACTTAATGTGCAGTGACTCCCAAATAAGAGCTAGCGGCTACCGGGTAACGTCACCTCCAAAATGTATAAAAAAACGTTTCTTGAATGGAAAGGTCTTTGACCAAAATCTTCAAAACCGCACTAAGTTGTGGATTTAAAAGACTGATCACTATTAATATGCACATTCTGGTGCGTGCTTACATAATATAGACTGTTGTAAACTTAACGTTATGTGAACTCTAGTCACTTGGTTAGCCAAAGCTTGCTACAAGACTAAGAGCTTAGCGGGGGAACAACTGTGCCTGCTGACTCGTCAGCTCACCGGTGTTAATACTGGGTGCTGTTGAAAAGTGTTACACCAAGTTCAAGTACCTTAAACCAGGGGTTAATTTAACCTTATTCGACACGATCACGTATAAGGGGTGAATTTTACGTAACCGAGCTAGTAATCATCACGTGTAGCTATGCTAACGTTCAGACATAGGAAAAAGTAGATTTCAAACATACGTCACCCATCCAAAGGCTCGTCTGTCTGTTAAACATCGTAGATTTGGGAACAGCGTCAACGCCACAAAACTGTTGAATAAAAGTAGTGAAAACCTTGACTTCAGCTTTGCAACCTTATCAGTTCTCCTCACGTTAACACCAAACACACCAAATTGCGGCTTCTCTTCCGGCTCAAGATAATTTCATGCTTCCGGCTTCCGGTAGATGGGTTAGTTTCTTCTTTTTCAGCTGTTTTTTAATGGCGGTTGGCAACCAGCTTTAGGTGCATTACCGCCACCTTCCAGACTGGAGTGTGGATTAGAACGGCCCCTACCTACTACCACACCAAAATAACCCTACTTAATTCACCTTATATTATCTTGTGTAACCCTGTGCTCTCTAAAAACCTAATAAGTGCTCTGTATCCTATAACCCCTGACCTTTGACCCAACACCTCTAGTAAACTAAAGTTCATTCCACCTCTTAAAACAGTATTTTTAAATAATTCCCTCTCCCTCCTAAACCTGGGACAGCTCATTGAAACATGTTCATGTTCATCGTCTTCTTCTTCTTCTTCTTCTT